GCCCAAGAAAAGGCTGTGGAAACCCTCATTCTGAGCAGAGCCTGGCACCAGCCTCAGGAGTGAGCTCAGCTCTGGTGACTTGAGGCTATATAGAGACACTCTTGAAATATGATCTTCTCTCTCCCCACCTGGAGCTAAGATTAGCCAAGCTGCAGGGGGTGAGTGTGCTGCACAATTACGTGGGTAGTCGAGAGAAGAAGCTGTGAAGTGTGGCTATGTGATAATTAACCCTTCTCTTTCTCAGCCGAGTTCCCAGTCCTCTGCAAATGAGACTGAAAAGTAATGGTCAGTAGCTCCCTCTCTTTTCCTTTACTGGTGGTTCTGTAGGAAGAGAGACAGGTGGCCACAGGCCAACATGACCTCCTATTTGGAAAGCCCTCCTGCCTTGAGTTAACTTATAGCACTATCACCTGTGCTACATTGCATAAGCTTCACAGCATCCAGAAGGTGAGGATCAAACACCCAGAGAGACCAAGAGACTTGCCCAAAGTCACAGAGTGACAGTAGCAGAACCAGAGTGAGGTCCTGATCTCCTGCCTGCCCGGCCTCTCCAAGAGCCCTTTCTATGTCACTTGAGGGCCAAGGCACTGAAACAGAGCCTCAAGTTGCTCAAGGTGTGTGTGAGTGACAGTGCAGCAGCTGTAGGGGCAGGTGCACCCACGCATGGGAATGTCCCAGTGATGTACATGTGTCTGCATTTATTATATATTTATCACACCATGATCCACATGGCTCATTCCCAGGGCAGAGCCATGCTGAGAGAACGCAACACTAGCGCCTATGGAGAATAGTCTGGCAGTTTTCCAAAAAGTTACACGTGATCTAGAGTTATCTGGATAACACGATGATGAGTTATCTTATGATCCAGAAATTCCCAAGAGTATCGAGGACATATTTCCACACACCAATTGTGTATGAACACTCACAGCAGCCTTACCCATGATATCCAAAAAGTGATTACAACTCACATGTCCATCACCTGGTGAACAGGTAAATGACACTGGTATAGCTATACAAGGGAATGTTATTTGGCCATAATAATAAATGGCAGCCAAATCGCTTACCAACGACTGTTGTTAATTTATGCAGCAACCAGGAGAACATGAGTATCCATTTTCCTGAACTCTAACCAACTCTGAATTTTACCAAATATACCTTGTTAGACAAACACAGTAAAACAATACCTAATTTTTAAAAATATGTGTTCCCCAATTTCCAGTGTACTTGGCATCTTTTCAGTATCCCTAGTCCAACTGCCCCTATTTTTGTGAAATTGCCTGTTCATATCGTCAGACCATTTTTAAATTTATTGATCTTCTTCTTATGGGTCATAGAAGCCACCCTTGTCCTTTCCAGCCTGTAACTCTATATACGCAGGGTGCTAATGTGTACACAGTGTGAGGAGCTTTCCATCTCAATAGGAATAGGGTGAAACTGCTACGCTAGGAGCCACAGAATCACTCAGTGCCACCCTAGCTGAGGGGGGCGGGGGGAGATGCAGAGCTGCAAAGTTTTCTCCCCCACTCAGAATTCGATGCTAATTCTACTGCAGTGGTGAAGCCCCAGGTTATTCCTAATATAACATGCAATGCTTCCTCACTTCCTGGCAGGTCTACTTCATCTTCTTATTCTAGATACCCTGTAAGCTTACTCCTTGCTCACCCTACTTCTGCCCCAGGGATGGGAGAGGACAAAGGTCTCCACAATTGGATGTAAATGCTCCAGTGCAGCAAATGCTGGAACCCGTGGAGAAAATGCAGTCGTTCCTCTTGTATACCCAGCCCAAGGATCCTGCTGTCCTCTCCTCCCTGTAGGGATGGCTGTCCTCCCCCAGCAAGACTCAAGCATGGCTGTGGCTGCCTGGGGAGAAGAAGACAGCCTAGTCTGTTTTGGGGGGACACTTGGGAATCAAAGTCTTAGGTACCCCATGTCACAGCGTCCTCTTGGAGAAAAGATCTAGACTAACACTAATTTCTGATTGGCCCTAAATGGACCTGTATTACCGCCATTTATGTCTCTTCCTCATAGAGTTCTGCACTGCAGATCTCTCCTCTGCTTCTCTGTGAGACTTTATTAAGTTTCTCTAGCTTGCGCAAAGATCCATCTGACACACTGTCATCCACGGAGTCAGAACTGTCCAGCTGGTCTCTTTTATACTGTCCCAGGGTCTGCCATCATCTGCCTTCCCAGCGCCCTTGTTTTTACTTTGCAAAGAGTTTAAGCGTCAGATGGATATTTAGTAAGTTGTTTCCCTCCTGGTGAACAGAGATCCCCAATGTTATCCGTGCCCACTACATGTGTGCCATGTGCCCTGGGAAAAACTCGCCCCAGACCCAGCTTCGAGAACTGGCCAGAGTGGAGTAAGGAGGAGGTGGGAATGGTGACAAGGGGTCTCACCTCCATGTCACTGATAGGTGTAGACGTGAGTACATGACCCAGATTAGTCCCATAACATCAAAAAACAGTGTGGTTTTCGTCCTTCGTTTGCTAATAATAGTGTATCACGTTTATCGACCACATGTTGAACCATCCTTTTATCTCTGGGATAAATTTCACTTCATCACTGTGAATAATCTTTTTAATGTGATGCTGAATCTTGTTTGCTAGGATTTTGTTGGGGATTTTTGCATCGATGTTCATCAGGGAAATTCATCATCCTTTCTTGTAGTGTCCTTGTCTGCGGTATCAGGGTAATGCTGGCCTGACAAAATGAGTTTGAGAGTATTCCACCCTCTTCAATTCTTTTGAACAGCGTGAGAAAGATTGGTGTTCGTGCTTCTTTAAGTGTTTGATAGAATTCAGCAGTGAATTTGAAAGTATTCCATCCTCTTCAATTTTTTCGAACAGCGTGAGAAAGATTGGTGTTCGTGCTTCTTTAAGTGTTTGATAGAATTCAGCAGTGAAGCCATCGAATACTAGGCTTTTCTTTGATGGGATACTTTTTGGT